ATTCCATTAGCATCAATTTAGGCCCTAGAAATGATTTTATAACTCAAAGAACCATAGTCTTGAATTTTAGAATTTTAGGCTATGAAGGAGGTGAGATTTTAGAGGTCTAATATGGTTGGAATTAAGGATTTAATTGGGGTATTTAATTGGCATGTAGGAGACTACTTAGAGGTGCAAAGAGGAGACCCAAAGACTTGATAGATTATTTGATCAAGAGTTACTCTTCACCAAGTTACAACATAAGGTAAGGGGTAGGATAACTTTTATAATTCATTTTTGCTTGAAATAGCATTGAGAAGAAGTCCCTTACTTCTAAGTTAATTAGAAATTTATTTGGAATTATTTGAATGTCATTTCTATTTTTGATGAATTTTTAAAGTTTTAAGATTATGTGAAATTTATGGCTTCTAAATGGAGCAACTTGAGTGTATGGAACCTTGTATGATTATAAGGCATCCATGAATGTTGTTTGAATCGATTGCTTAATCATTAGTAATTTTATATGATTTATTGATGAATTTAGATTGAGAATTAGCCTATTTCTATGTTTAGTATTCTGATCATTGCTTTAAATTGATTATTGAGATATATTGTATGTATGTTATGAAGCATGATAAGTAGAAAATTATTGTGCAATGTTTTTGTTAAGATGGATTAACATATAGAATTGCATTGTATAATTTGGTGGAATGGAGGAAAGGTGTGAGAAATGAACTATGTGAGAAAGAAAACTATTTTTTTATATATATTGAATTGAATTTTATAATTTAATTATGAAGTGAATTTTTATATTTTTATTTAATTAATAAATATTTTTCAAAAGTATTGGAATAATTTTGATCTAGGAGAAAACAAGTAATTGTAAGTGAAAATGAATTTTTAATAATTTTGAGGAAATTATTTGCAATTATTATTATTATTTAAGAAAAATAAATTAAAACTGAGAAAATTATGATTTTGAGTGATGATGAATATGATGAGGTGGAAGGATGGTTTGGTGAAAAGTAGAAGTGTTCTGGGCTGTTTTTGGTTATTTTACAAGTGTTAAAAATTTTGGGAATGTCCGATTTACGGGGAAAACTCGTCGATTTTTCTTAAGAAATAACCTAGTATTATTTTGAAGAAGTTAAGATGTGATTTAAGTATAATGAGGTGAAACAAATTTGAAAGAGTGTGAAGAAGTTATGATAAGTCATGCATCATGTTCATGAGTCGAGAGATTGAGTGTATGAGGAGGATATGGAAAATCGGGGTCGGTTCCATGCTAACCTCGGGGATGATTGAGTGTGATCGAGCTCATATGTGGCTCGAGGCTCGCTACCTAAGTTGTGAGACTCTCACTACCAAGCTTGATTATCCTGACTGAAGCCCCGGGGTTTCTCATGATCGGTTGAGTCTGGACAAGTAATTATGAGTATACTACCGCAAGGCGGTGAGAGGTTCCAGTGAAACTCCTGATCCTTCTCGAAAAGAAAAAAGAAAATAAAAGAGAAAGTGGTTTTGGGATCCCCATGGTCTTGCATACTAGGATGTGTCCTAGAAAAGATTAGTGAATACATTGCATTCATAATATCATATCATTTGTGTGCTGATTACTAGTATGTTTGTATATGTAATTTCTAATTAACCCAATGTTATTTGCATGCTCTAAGTGAATATAAAGTTGTCTTACCCTTTCTGTGCATGTATTGTTATTATGAAATGTTTGCATAGGTGACGTTGAACACAACTCATCCCCGGTATCATCTCCAAGTAAAGTTTAAATACGATCACTGCAAGTACTAAGTAGAAGACTTGATCGGACACCACTACAGTGCTACAAGAGATACTTCATTTTAGTGGACGTACAAAATATATCTCCTCTTTAGTTAGGTTGTATAATTAGTTTGTCTAGTTAGTTTGTTTGCTTTGGTATTGTGAACCCTTGTTAGGTGTATTTTGGGATGACTTTATGTATATTTACCATCTAGTTATACTTGACACTTATGAATGATATGTATATTAATTACTAAGTGTATGTTCTAATTATTGTGTACTTTACTTCTACAAGAGTGTATTGGTAATCAAATACTAAGAGGAACCAATAATAATTAATAAATCATAATAAAGTGAATGTTGGTATTAAAGGTGTCACAACTTCCATGCTGGAAATCTTCTTCTTTCTTCTAGTTTTACTCCAATTCTGCTGTCAATTATGCTCATTACTCTTGTATCAATGTATTCTTGAATTCATCCTATATTGGGAGAAAAATAAATTAGAATTAGCATCAGTTAAGTAGTTTCATAACAATTCAAGGTATAATTATATCAACTTTTTACCACTTAACAATAACATTCCAATATAAAATTTTAAAGTCTACGCGACTCTTTTTTTAAGGAACTATATAAAAAAATAACATTCAAGAAAGTGTTTTGCGGTTTTAGTTAATTAAAAATTATAGATATTAACATGGTTTTTAAAATATTTTTTCTCATAGACTTTTAAAATATTGTATTATTAAAGATGAAATAAAATTAAAATATCACAACTTACAATTAACAACTATACCTATTTTAATACTGTGAGTGCATCTATTATTTATTAGAAAATAGAATTTGATTTTGAAAATAATTCTATACTGTGAGTGCATCTATTATTTATTAGAAAATAGAATTTAATTTTAAAAATAATTCTAATTTAATATACGAAAGGGATAATTTGTTGAAACGAACTTGAAATGAATTAATTAGATATTTGTTAAGGTAAGTTTCAAATGTTGTAGATGTTAAAAATATATGCTGAGATCAAGAGGGAGGGTGAATTGATCTGATCAAATATTTTTGCAACGTTTAATTACAGATTACCAATTTTAAAGTTTTAATGAAATCAATCTAAGAACAACAATCTTGAATAAGAGAATGTAATGAAAGAAGAACAAGAAGAACAAAATTTATACTGGTTCACCCACTAATCAAAATTCAATTGATTACAAATACTAAGAGTAGACTAACAATCTATACCAAGAACTATAATCAAGTTCTTGAACCTCTAACAACAACCACAATTCCAGTTGCTTAAACCAGTGTCCACAATTCTGGACACCGAAATTACAACGGATAGAATGAAAGATTAAGATGCTTGGAGAAACAATAACAATCAAGTGAATATGCAAAAGCAACAATCCAATCGCAGAACGAGTTTCTTCAAGAGTATTAGCAAAGAGCCTCAAGAATGATATAAAAAAGAATTGTAAAGTATAAAGTGTGTTTCTCTCCTGGAACAGAACTTAAAAGATTGCTTGAATGATTTCTCAAAAAGTATGTTTTGAAGTGCAGGTGGTATTAATCTGTTTATATAGAGAAATTTTGAAGTGACTCATAGAATTAATCGGTTAATTCGTGACTTAATTGATTATAATAAATAAGTTTAAATGAATTTAACTGATGACAAAACATTTTAATAAATTAAAATGGTTCTGTCAATTTTTTCCGACACGTTTTAACTGATAAAAACGTGTTTTAATCGTTTAAAAGAATCCTGGATATTTTTCAGAGATGTTTTAACTGATAACATGGTCATGTAACAGTTAATTTTGCGAACCATAGCTTTCAAAACTAAGTCAAGAACAAGATTAAAAACTTTCTTAATCAATTAAATCTGCGACTCAAAAATTTCTTTATTTGTTTTAAGTAAATTCAATCGATTAATTCGAAAATGTATCAATTAAAAACCTTGTTGGAGAACATATTAACCTATTAAAACAATTTTTAACAGATTAAAATTCTTGAGGCACTTATACGTGAAAAAAGGAAGAAACTCATGCTTAAGGAAATGATAGATGTTTATACCTATATAATACAGACACACTAATGAACTACTGCAACACAACATCTTGTTTTGACTTCATCAAATCTTTCAGCAAGTCTTCCAAGGTCTTTTCAAGATTCTTCCCACAAGCTTCATCAGTATAGATAATTATAGATTGTTTTAAAAGCTCGAAACAATTTTTATTCAATAATATTGATATATACTAAAGTAAAAAAAAAAAAAAAACCACAATCCCACATAGAATCACATATTTTAATATTTTAATTTAGTATTTTCAGCAATATTTGTTGTATTTTATTTTCAAATTAATATATTTCTATTTTAGCTAAACCAAATAGTCTGGGAATGACTTTTATTACATTAATGATTATTTAAGTTTTGAAAAATACCCTACAATTAAATATTTCATTATACGAGCTTGGATATAGTTTCAAACTAAATCAATACTTTTTAATTTATTTTAAAATTATTAATTAAAAAATATCTAATATATTAGACAAATAGAAACAATCCACTTCTTATCAATGTTTTTAAATGAATTCCTTATTACATTTGAATTTTTCTCTTTTCAAACATTATTTATGTTAAAACAAATCCAGACCATATAAACATATGTTAGTTAACTAAAACAAATAATGATATCAATTTTCCTTAAAAAGAAAATTGCACTATCATATCATTTTTTTACACGTACAATTAGTTGTATGAAATTCCTTATTACCTTGAATGGCAACACAATTAGGTAAATGTATTAGAATTTAGGTTTAAATTATTCATGAGTAAATTCAAAAATACTTAATTCATCCCACAAATAGAAATAGTTCACATGTGTATTGATTTCACATTTAGTTACAACAGATATTCAATCATCCAACCATCCATTATATATAACATCATAAATTAACTTTACATACACACAAATTTAACATTTAAGATTTCAAAGATTTCACACCATCACTTAAGAGCAAATATTCATCATGGTAACAATTTTATCTTTTTCTTACGTACTTTGCAACTTTTATTGTCAATGTTATGATATTTTTCTTTCTTCTTTATTCCACTCTTATTTAATTTACATATTTTTCTCCATTCGTCTACAATATATTCCAAAATGGATAAGTTTTACAAACATATTTTTAGCTAATGAATGGTTTATGTGCAGGTTAACACGAAGATTATCAGTAATATAACCATGATTTCATTAACAATATTAGTATTTCTCTCGATAACAACATACTCAGCTAGTCTAGAATACGAAAGTCATATTAAGTCAGCCATCTTTTTGTCTGAAAGTTTTGAAGTTGGACCAGGAAAAGTTGCAACGAAAACACTTTTAGATATTGCTTTTCCGAGAGGTCATATTGGAATCAAGAGTTTTGATGCTGAAGTGGTTGATGAAAATGGTAACTCTGTACCTTTGTATGAAACTTACCTCCATCATTGGTTTGCTATAAAATACATTGAAAACGTTACCATGTCACACTATATTGAACAAACTCATGACCTTCGTAACGGTATCGAATACGAAAGAAATGATGGTCCATGTCAAACGTTTTTACTTCCACATTATTGGGGGTTGGGAGGAGAATCACGAGGAACACCCTCAAATCTTCCATATCCTTTTGCACTTGAATTAGGTAATCCAAAAGATATAAAACATGGATTTAAAGAAAAGTGGTTGTTTAACGTCATGGTTATTGATACACGTGGCACACATAATAGAAAAGGTTGCACCGAATGTAGATGTAACCTTTTCAATCTCCCAAAGGACTTTTACAATGTCACAACGGGCGTTAATGGACTACCATTGCCCCTAGATTATAAAGGAGGACTATTTTGTTGCAAAGATAACTTTCAATGTAAATTAAGAAAGAGTTTCCATGGCCCAACAAGAAAGCTTTTTCTAAGATACAAAATAAGGTGGGTGGATTGGGATGAACACCAAGTGCCACTCAAGTTTTACATACTTGATTCGACTGATCGTGTGAGATCAAACGGGTCTACAACAATTCATGAGTGTCAGGTAAATAATTTATTCAAGATACATAATTTCATAGATGATAAGTAGACTTTCGAATATCAATTAAATTTCAAACCAAAGTAGTGACTTATTAATTACTTTTCCACAAAGTGAGTAACATAATTTTTTTTAATTTGTTATAGGCAGAATATGTCATTCCAAGAATTAGTGATGGTAGCTCCTTTCATGTCCAAAAGGCAAAGATTCCAATGACAAAAGGTGGTTATCTTATATATGGCATTGCACATGCGCATGCGGGCGCTGTCAATATAACTGTATATGGACAGGTAATATTTTATATTTGTCGGCATTCCTATATATAATATATAGGATTTGTGATAGATAAATTTTTATTAATCTTTCTACGCTTCAGATTTTCTTAAGTAATAAAATTTACGGAGTAATTTTACATTTTGTAAGAAGTTAACTTTTCTAATGTGACTTGTATAAATTTATGTTTTTGATTAACATAGGATGGAAGGGTTTTATGTACTTCAACACCAAAATACGGAACGGGAAAAGAACCAGGAAATGAAAGAGGTTATGTAGTTGGAACGTCTGTTTGCTCTCCAAAACCTGGTTCTATCAAGATTAAAGATGGTGAAATTTTAACTTTAGAATCCATATACGAAAACAAATTTCGTACCGGAGCTATGGGACATTTCTACGTTTATTTGGCAGAACAACTACCAACGAAGCATTCAAACATTTGATGTAAAATTATAATTGTATTTTCTTCCCAACATATATATTTTCAAATAAAACAGTAGATGAATTTTATTTTTATTATTAGTATAGGAAACTAATACAATAATTTTGTACATATTATTAAAATCCTAGGAAAAAGAAAAAGTATAAAATGTTAATACATGAAAAAGCTAATATAGAACATCAAAATAAAATCTATTAAAAGATTGAAAAAAAATGTAATTGCTTTATTGTTTTCTTTATCCCAATCTTATTATCTTTTATCAGTTTTCATAGTCTTGTAATTTTAAATGTTTTCTTATATAATTCATGAAATTATTGGTAAATTTTTTCTAACTTTTTAGATTTTTATACTATAAATTCATTAGAATCTATTAAAAGAATAATTATAAAAATTCTCTTAAAAAACTTAAAATTTATAACATTCCAATATAATATTTCAAAGTCTACGCGACTTTTTTTTAAGAAACTATATAAAAAAAATAACATTCAAGAAAGTTTTTTGCAGTTTTAGTTAATTAAAAATTATAGATATTAACATGGTTTTTAAAATATTTTTTCTCATAGACTTTTAAAATATTTTATTATTAAAGATGAAATAAAATTAAAATATCACAACTTACAATTAACAACTATACCTATTTTAATACTGTGAGTGCATCTATTATTTATTAGAAAATAGAATTTGATTTTGAAAATAATTCTATACTGTGAGTGCATCTATTATTTATTAGAAAATAGAATTTAATTTTAAAAATAATTCTAATTTAATATACGAAAGGGATAATTTGTTGAAACGAACTTGAAATGAATTAATTAGATATTTGTTAAGGTAAGTTTCAAATGTTGTAGATGTTAAAAATATATGCTGAGATCGAGAGGGAGGGTGAATTGATCTGATCAAATATTTTTGCAACGTTTAATTACAGATTACCAATTTTAAAGTTTTAATGAAATCAATCTAAGAACAACAATCTTGAATAAGAGAATGTAATGAAAGAAGAACAAGAAGAACAAAATTTATACTGGTTCACCCACTAATCAAAATTCAATTGATTACAAATACTAAGAGTAGACTAACAATCTATACCAAGAACTATAATCAAGTTCTTGAACCTCTAACAACAACCACAATTCCAGTTGCTTAAACCAGTGTCCACAATTCTGGACACCGAAATTACAACGGATAGAATGAAAGATTAAGATGCTTGGAGAAACAATAACAATCAAGTGAATATGCAAAAGCAACAATCCAATCGCAGAACGAGTTTCTTCAAGAGTATTAGCAAAGAGCCTCAAGAATGATATAAAAAAGAATTGTAAAGTATAAAGTGTGTTTCTCTCCTGGAACAGAACTTAAAAGATTGCTTGAATGATTTCTCAAAAAGTATGTTTTGAAGTGCAGGTGGTATTAATCTGTTTATATAGAGAAATTTTGAAGTGACTCATAGAATTAATCGGTTAATTCGTGACTTAATTGATTATAATAAATAAGTTTAAATGAATTTAACTGATGACAAAACATTTTAATAAATTAAAATGGTTCTGTCAATTTTTTCCGACACGTTTTAACTGATAAAAACGTGTTTTAATCGTTTAAAAGAATCCTGGATATTTTTCAGAGATGTTTTAACTGATAACATGGTCATGTAACAGTTAATTTTGCGAACCATAGCTTTCAAAACTAAGTCAAGAACAAGATTAAAAACTTTCTTAATCAATTAAATCTGCGACTCAAAAATTTCTTTATTTGTTTTAAGTAAATTCAATCGATTAATTCGAAAATGTATCAATTAAAAACCTTGTTGGAGAACATATTAACCTATTAAAACAATTTTTAACAGATTAAAATTCTTGAGGCACTTATACGTGAAAAAAGGAAGAAACTCATGCTTAAGGAAATGATAGATGTTTATACCTATATAATACAGACACACTAATGAACTACTGCAACACAACATCTTGTTTTGACTTCATCAAATCTTTCAGCAAGTCTTCCAAGGTCTTTTCAAGATTCTTCCCACAAGCTTCATCAGTATAGATAATTATAGATTGTTTTAAAAGCTCGAAACAATTTTTATTCAATAATATTGATATATACTAAAGTAAAAAAAAAAAAAAAAAACCACAATCCCACATAGAATCACATATTTTAATATTTTAATTTAGTATTTTCAGCAATATTTGTTGTATTTTATTTTCAAATTAATATATTTCTATTTTAGCTAAACCAAATAGTCTCGGGAATGACTTTTATTACATTAATGATTATTTAAGTTTTGAAAAATACCCTACAATTAAATATTTCATTATACGAGCTTGGATATAGTTTCAAACTAAATCAATACTTTTTAATTTATTTTAAAATTATTAATTAAAAAATATCTAATATATTAGACAAATAGAAACAATCCACTTCTTATCAATGTTTTTAAATGAATTCCTTATTACATTTGAATTTTTCTCTTTTCAAACATTATTTATGTTAAAACAAATCCAGACCATATAAACATATGTTAGTTAACTAAAACAAATAATGATATCAATTTTCCTTAAAAAAGAAAATTGCACTATCATATCATTTTTTTACACGTACAATTAGTTGTATGAAATTCCTTATTACCTTGAATGGCAACACAATTAGGTAAATGTATTAGAATTTAGGTTTAAATTATTCATGAGTAAATTCAAAAATACTTAATTCATCCCACAAATAGAAATAGTTCACATGTGTATTGATTTCACATTTAGTTACAACAGATATTCAATCATCCAACCATCCATTATATATAACATCATAAATTAACTTTACATACACACAAATTTAACATTTAAGATTTCAAAGATTTCACACCATCACTTAAGAGCAAATATTCATCATGGTAACAATTTTATCTTTTTCTTACGTACTTTGCAACTTTTATTGTCAATGTTATGATATTTTTCTTTCTTCTTTATTCCACTCTTATTTAATTTACATATTTTTCTCCATTCGTCTACAATATATTCCAAAATGGATAAGTTTTACAAACATATTTTTAGCTAATGAATGGTTTATGTGCAGGTTAACACGAAGATTATCAGTAATATAACCATGATTTCATTAACAATATTAGTATTTCTCTCGATAACAACATACTCAGCTAGTCTAGAATACGAAAGTCATATTAAGTCAGCCATCTTTTTGTCTGAAAGTTTTGAAGTTGGACCAGGAAAAGTTGCAACGAAAACACTTTTAGATATTGCTTTTCCGAGAGGTCATATTGGAATCAAGAGTTTTGATGCTGAAGTGGTTGATGAAAATGGTAACTCTGTACCTTTGTATGAAACTTACCTCCATCATTGGTTTGCTATAAAATACATTGAAAACGTTACCATGTCACACTATATTGAACAAACTCATGACCTTCGTAACGGTATCGAATACGAAAGAAATGATGGTCCATGTCAAACGTTTTTACTTCCACATTATTGGGGGTTGGGAGGAGAATCACGAGGAACACCCTCAAATCTTCCATATCCTTTTGCACTTGAATTAGGTAATCCAAAAGATATAAAACATGGATTTAAAGAAAAGTGGTTGTTTAACGTCATGGTTATTGATACACGTGGCACACATAATAGAAAAGGTTGCACCGAATGTAGATGTAACCTTTTCAATCTCCCAAAGGACTTTTACAATGTCACAACGGGCGTTAATGGACTACCATTGCCCCTAGATTATAAAGGAGGACTATTTTGTTGCAAAGATAACTTTCAATGTAAATTAAGAAAGAGTTTCCATGGCCCAACAAGAAAGCTTTTTCTAAGATACAAAATAAGGTGGGTGGATTGGGATGAACACCAAGTGCCACTCAAGTTTTACATACTTGATTCGACTGATCGTGTGAGATCAAACGGGTCTACAACAATTCATGAGTGTCAGGTAAATAATTTATTCAAGATACATAATTTCATAGATGATAAGTAGACTTTCGAATATCAATTAAATTTCAAACCAAAGTAGTGACTTATTAATTACTTTTCCACAAAGTGAGTAACATAATTTTTTTTAATTTGTTATAGGCAGAATATGTCATTCCAAGAATTAGTGATGGTAGCTCCTTTCATGTCCAAAAGGCAAAGATTCCAATGACAAAAGGTGGTTATCTTATATATGGCATTGCACATGCGCATGCGGGCGCTGTCAATATAACTGTATATGGACAGGTAATATTTTATATTTGTCGGCATTCCTATATATAATATATAGGATTTGTGATAGATAAATTTTTATTAATCTTTCTACGCTTAGATTTTCTTAAGTAATAAAATTTACGGAGTAATTTTACATTTTGTAAGAAGTTAACTTTTCTAATGTGACTTGTATAAATTTATGTTTTTGATTAACATAGGATGGAAGGGTTTTATGTACTTCAACACCAAAATACGGAACGGGAAAAGAACCAGGAAATGAAAGAGGTTATGTAGTTGGAACGTCTGTTTGCTCTCCAAAACCTGGTTCTATCAAGATTAAAGATGGTGAAATTTTAACTTTAGAATCCATATACGAAAACAAATTTCGTACCGGAGCTATGGGACATTTCTACGTTTATTTGGCAGAACAACTACCAACGAAGCATTCAAACATTTGATGTAAAATTATAATTGTATTTTCTTCCCAACATATATATTTTCAAATAAAACAGTAGATGAATTTTATTTTTATTATTAGTATAGGAAACTAATACAATAATTTTGTACATATTATTAAAATCCTAGGAAAAAGAAAAAGTATAAAATGTTAATACATGAAAAAGCTAATATAGAACATCAAAATAAAATCTATTAAAAGATTGAAAAAAAAATGTAATTGCTTTATTGTTTTCTTTATCCCAATCTTATTATCTTTTATCAGTTTTCATAGTCTTGTAATTTTAAATGTTTTCTTATATAATTCATGAAATTATTGGTAAATTTTTTCTAACTTTTTAGATTTTTATACTATAAATTCATTAGAATCTATTAAAAGAATAATTATAAAAATTCTCTTAAAAAACTTAAAATTTATAACATTCCAATATAATATTTCAAAGTCTACGCGACTTTTTTTTAAGAAACTATATAAAAAAAATAACATTCAAGAAAGTTTTTTGCAGTTTTAGTTAATTAAAAATTATAGATATTAACATGGTTTTTAAAATATTTTTTCTCATAGACTTTTAAAATATTTTATTATTAAAGATGAAATAAAATTAAAATATCACAACTTACAATTAACAACTATACCTATTTTAATACTGTGAGTGCTCGTTGAACATTCAAGGACTTGATGTTGCAAATAATGATCATGAAGAATGTTGATTTTGATGATGATCCAAGAGCTTAAAGACTTAGAGTATTGAAGATTGAAGATTGATGATTTCCGTATTGTAATAACTCTGTTTTAGCTTGATTGAGTCTGTAATTTTAGAGTCTAAGATAGCCAGTACATAGTCTATAACTTAGATGCTTCAAAATGCTCAAATTTATCATTCAGTGCTCGGCTTTAATTGATTAAATAAGTATATAATCGATTAAAACAAGTGAGAAAACCATTTTCTGTCTAAAACTCACCGCTTTAATCGATTAAACGACAGAAATAATCGATTATTCCGTACGATTCCGTATGCGATAATCGATTCTTTCATCAAATAATCGATTAAACCAGAGAGGATTGGGTTCTGACATATTTGGCTCTGTTTTAATCGATTATTACTCCAAATAATCGATTATTTCCGTCTGTTTCTAATTTTAAACATCAAACAAACCCTATTTTCGAAAATCCAATTACCAAGAACCCTAGTTTCGAAATCCCCAATTCCTAAACCCTAATTTCCCTACTTAAACTCTGCTTTGGCACTCAGAAAAGAAGAACAACTCTTTCCATACAAAAGTTAAGTGTTGTGAGTGCCAGAGAACTATTTGTTGCAAGGAAAGGGGGCTTTCGGAACCTGGTGTGGGCTAGAAGCGATAAGAATCACTAAGTGGAGTTCTTAGTGGATTGTGTGTTGTGCCGTCTCTGGGGAAAGCTGTTCTTCATCTCTTGTGGGTTTCAAGAGAGGTGTCATCTTTTACTTTATCTCTTCCATTGTAATTTGTATTGTAACAATTTGTTTATAGTGACAGCGTTAATCCTCTGTTGAGTGATTAGCAACTGGACGTAGGGTCTTTTGATCCGAACCAGTATAAATTTCCTGTGTAAGACTCTATCCCTTTCTCTATTTACATTTACACAGTTTTTAATCGGTAAAATTTGGGGAAAATTTTGAAAACCTAATTTTTATTAAGAAACCAATTCACCCCCCCTCTTGGTTTTTGTCCGACCACGCGAACATTCCGCTGCGCGATTCTAACAAGTGCATCTATTATTTATTAGAAAATAGAATTTAATTTTGAAAATAATTCTATAGTGTGAGTGCATCTATTATTTATTAGAAAATAGAATTTAATTTTAAAAATAATTCTAATTTAATATACGAAAGGGATAATTTGTTGAAATGAACTTGAAATGAATTAATTAGATATTTGTTAAGGTGAGTTTCAAATGTTGTAGATGTTAAAAATATATGTTGAGATCAAGAGGGAGGGTGAATTGATCTAATCAAAGATTTTTGCAACGTTTAATTATAGACACTACTACAAAAAACATTTACTAGATTACCAATTTTAAAGTTTTAATGAAATCAATCTAAGAACAACAATCTGGAATAAGAGAATGTAACGAAAGAAGAACAACAAGAACAAAATTTATATTGGTTCACCCACTAATCAAATTTCAATTGATTACAAATACTAAGAGTAGACTAACAATCTATACCAAGAACTATAATCAAGTTCTTGAACCTCTAACAACAACCACAATTCCAGTTGTTTAAACCATTATCCACAATTTTGGACACCGAAATTACAACGGATAGAATGAAAGATTAAGATGCTTGGAGAAACAATAACAATCAAGTGAATATGCAAAAGCAACAATCCAATCACAGAACGAGTTTCTTCAAGAGTATTAGCAAAGAGCCTCAAGAATGATATAAAAAAGAATTGTAAAGTATAAAGTGTGTTTCTCTCCTGGAACAGAGGTTAAAAGATTACTTGAATGATTTCTCAAAAAGTATGTTTTGAAGTGCAGGTGGTATTAATCTGTTTATATAGAGAATTTTTGAAGTGACTCATAGAATTAATTGGTTAATTTGTGACTTAATTGATTAAAATAAATAAGTTTAAATGAATTTAACTGATGACAAAACATTTTAATAAATTAAAATGGTTCTGTCAATTTTTTCCGACACATTTTAACTGATAAAAACATGTTTTAATCGTTTAAAAGAATCCTGGATATTTTTCGGAGATGTTTTAACTGATAACATGGTCATGTATCAGTTAATTTTGCGAACCACAACTTTCAAAACTAAGTCAAGAACAAGATTAAAAACTTTCTTAATCAATTAAATCTGCGACTCAAAAATTTCTTTATTTTTTTTAAGTAAATTCAATCGATTAATTCGAAAATATATCAAATAAAAACCTTGTTGGAGAACATATTAACCTATTAAAACAATTTTTAATAGAATAAAATTGTTGAGGATCTTATACGTGAAAAAAAGGAAGAAACTCATGCTTGAGGAAATGATAGACGTTTATACCTATATAATACAGACACACTAATGAACTACAACAACACAACATATTCTTTTGACTTCATCAAAACTTTGTGCAAGTCTTCCAGGGTCTTTTCAAGATTCTACCCACAAGCTTGATGCGTATAGATAATTATAGATTGTTTTAAAAGCTCGAAACAATTTTGATTCTATAATATTGATATATACAAAAGTAAAAAAAAAAAAACACAATCCCACATAGAATCACATATTTTAATATTTTAATTTAGTATTTTCAGCAATATTTGTTGTATTTTATTTTCAAATTAATATATTTCTATTTTAGCTAAACCAAATAGTCTCGGAATGACTTTTATTACATTAATGATTATTTAAGTTTTGAAAAATACCCTACAATTAAATATTTCATTATACGAGCTTGAATATAGTTTCAAACTAAATCAATACTTTTTAATTTATTTTAAAATTATTAATTAAAAAATATCTAATATATTAGACAAATAGAAACAATCCACTTCTTATCGATGTTTTTAAATGAATTCCTTATTACATTTGAATTTTTTCTTTTCAAACATTATTTATGTTAAAACAAATCCAAACAATATAAATCATATGTTAGGTAACTAAAACAAATAATGATATCAATTTTCCTTTAAAAAGAAAATTGCACTATCATATCATTTTTTACACGTACAATTAGTTGTATGAAATTCCTTATTTCCTTGAATGGCAACACAATTAGGTAAATGTATTATAATTTAGGTTTAAATTATTCATCAGTAAATTCAAAAATACTTTATTCTTCCCACAAATAGAAATAGTTCACATGTGTATTGATTTCACATTTAGTTACAACAGATATTCAATCATCCAACCATCCATTATATATAACATCATAAATTAACTTTACATGCACACAAATTTAACATTTAAGATTTCAAAGATTTCACACCATCACTTAAGAGCAAATATTCATCATGGTAACAATTTTATCTTTTTCTTACTTACTTTGCAACTTTTATTGTCAATGTTATGATATTTTTCTTTCTTCTTTATTCCACTCTTATTTAATTTACATATTTTTCTCCATTTGTCTACAATATATTCCAAAATGGATAAGTTTTAGAAACATATTTTTAGCTAATGAATGGTTTATGTGCAGGTTAACACGAAGATTATCAGTAATATAACCATGATTTCATTAACAATATTAGTATTTCTCTCGATAATTGTTAAGTGGTAAAAAATTGATATAGTTATGCCTTGAATTGTTATGAAATCACTTAACTTATGTTAATTCTAATATATTTTTCTCCCAATATAGGATGAATTCGAGAATACCTTGATACAAGAGTAAGGAGTATAATTGTGAAGTAATTGAAGAAAAATTGAAAGAAAGAAGAACGCTTAAGCGAATGAATGATGCGAGGCCCGACCCAAATTCTCTTATAAAAAGATAATATGTGTTTTGAGAAAGGAGGCGGTCTTGGAGAAGAGGAGGCACAACTACTATTAGTGTTTCGTCTAATCTTCATCAATCCTTCACTTCTTCATCAATTAGAGCATTGTAATAGCCAACATGAGTGGCTAACTTCATTCTCTCAAGATTCGGTGCACTTCCTTTGAACTCTTTTGTATCATGGTGATATTTTGAGATATTAATCTATGTTTTGATGTTGTTATTCTGATCCTTTATTCTTTGGAATGATTTATTCTTGATTGTTTGAGGTATGATTGGAAAATATATCTTGAACCCTAGATCATGTTGAACATTCAAGGACTTGATGTTGAACTTGATGGACATGAAGCTTGTTGATTTTGATGATGATTCAAGAACACAAGACTTAGAGAGTTGAAGACTTGTATTATAGTGTAATAACTCTGTTTTGATTAGATTGAGTCTGTAATATTTGAGTTTGAGATAGCCGGTACTTAGTCTGCACCTTAGAAGCTTCAAAAAGCTCAAATTTATCAAAGTGCCTCGGCTTTAATCGATTAAATGGTGAAATAATCGATTAAAACAGTGAGAAAAACCATTTTCTGTATCTGCTCACTAGTTTAATCGATTAACACACCTGTTAATTGATTAACAGGCCTGTTAATCGATTAACAGGTCTTTTAATTGATTAAAATAGAGAGTTTTGGGGTTCTGTTGATTTTGGCTCTGTAATAATCGATTAACAGTTCATTTAATCGATTATTTCAGTCAGATTTTGATTTTTAATTTCAAATCAACCCTATTTTCGAAAACCCTAATTCCAAGACTCCTAGTTTCAAAAATCCCAATTCCAAAACCCTAATTTCTCTACTTAAGCTTCTCTATGGCACTCAGAAAAGAAGAACAACCTTTTTCATACAAAAGTTAAGTGTTGTGAGTGCCAGAGAACTGTTTGTTGCAAGAAAAAGGGGCTTTTGGAACCTGGTGTGGGCTAGAAGCAATAAGAATCACTAAGTGAAGTTCTTACTGGATTGTGTGTTGTGCCGTCTCTAGGAAAAGTTGTTCTTCATCTCTTGTGGATTTCAAGAGAGGTGTTTCCCTTACTTTATCTTTTCCATTGTAATTTGTTTGTAACAACTGTGATTATAGTGACAGCGTTAATCCTCTATTTGAGTGCTTAGCAACTGGACATAGGGTCTTTTGATCCGAACCAGTATAAATCTCCTGTGTAAGATTCTATCTCTTCTCTATTTACATTTACACAGTTTTTAATCGGTAAAATTTGGGAAAAATTTTGAAAACCTAGTTTTTGTTAAGAAACCAATTCACCTCCCCTCTTGGTTTTTGTCCGACCACGCGAACATTTCGCTGCGCGATTCTAACAGGTGGTATCAGAGCTTGCTTTGATAGTCATTCAAACTTTTCGAAAATGGCCGGACAAAATCAAACTTTTGCCGAAGGTGCGTTTATCAACAGACCCCCACTTTTTGCGGGTCAAAATTATCCTTTCTGGAAGGTAAGAATGCAAATCCTTTTAGAGTCTGTTGATAGAGGCGTTTTGTAACCCCCCTTACTGATTACATTTATTAATCCTAATTTATTATTTAAGTTAGTAATATTTTCAATATTCATAGAAGGTTAATAGAAAATATACCAAGTGAACAATTTATTTAGATAAAGTTTTATATTAAATCAAGCAACAAGTTCTAGTACAAAGTTTTCAAAATATTACAAGTCATAAAGTTATACTTATATGTTATACAATTCCCATCCTAAGCTCTAGATTTTTGCATCCGACATCTATCTCTTGAATTATCTATTCCTGCATCATACGTCACCAACATCCGGAATTGAAATATTTATGGGGTTAGACATTTAATTTTATCCACAACAAATAAAGCAAACATTTATACGATAAAATCAACCAATGAAACATCCCTTCTAATAAATATACAACCATATATAATTTAATTTAAAAATTAATTATGAGAAACAAATAAATAAATCATGGAATCATAATAGAGAATATCGTACAAATCATGAATAATTTACAATTTTATCATGCAATATGTTTATGATATGCACATGTGACTCCAAACGTAAAACTTTAAAATCATGCTTTTGACTCAAAATAAAAAATTTATTTTTGACTCGGTGCTCCATGGAGACTCATTTGAGTGTCTAGTGGAACTAGAGCTTAACATCACCCTGTCCGGTGATTCGGCAATATCCCACTAAACGCGAATAAGTAGACAGTAGTCGGAGTGTCAGTGCACCCGGCAGGCTACCACGACACAGAATCAAATAAAGATTGGTCACTTATGGAATTGCCCATGCCCAAACACTCCCTAGACCAAAGGTCCATCCCCATAGACCGAGAGGTCCTGTCTTACCTATTCTACTCCCCCATTTACTATCGGAGATTCCGGTAGCTCAATTTTCTTTTTTAATAATTCATTCTTTGTCTCATTTGGCCGACCATTTTCATAGTCATATTCCACTACCGGATGCTCTTGATAGTAAATTGACTCACAAAAATATTTTTAAAATTATGGTTTGCACATCTTTATTACTACCAACTTTCCTTGGTAGCTACTTAAGAGAAATTTCCAAATACTTTTCTTTAAAAAAACTTTTCTCGTGACTTCCAGAAAACATTTCATGCACTATGTTTATGTCTCGTATGAAACAAAACAATCTATCATCAATTAAGTACTTAAAAACATCTCCTTCATATATTCAAAATTTTAATTACAATTCATAGTTGTTTTAAGCAAGACAATTTTTTTATTAATAATTTATTTCATAGGGTTCAGTGTTTTGTCCATATCTTGAGTTCTAGACCTCATTTTTAAGATGATTCCAATTGTGTTGGAAAGATAAGATAATAATCTATAACTTTGATGAAGGAACTATCCTCAAATTCTAACGTTTATTGAGTCGTTTTCCTAGTAAACAAAGAGGGGGTAATATATTGTTTGACTTTCTCTCGATTATACCCTTAACCTTTTTCAAAATTCCATTTATGTCCCTAATATGTGAAATGACTATTTTACCCTTGATCTTTTGCAAAAATTCCCACCTAGTCCTTTCTTCTTCCTTCGCTCGCTCAAGCGAGTACACCGGTTGCTTGAGCGAGATGGAACCCGAGAGTCCCCTTCTGTTTGAAGGCTTCGTCGCTCAAGCGAGTACATTGGTCGCTTGAGCGAGGCATGACCCGAGAGTCCCCTTTGTTTGAAGCTTTCGTCGCTCAAGCGAGTACACCGGTCGCTTGAGCGAGACATGACCCTTAGTCGCTCAAGCGATGTAATTTTCGCTTGAGCGATAAAGAACCCGAGAATCCCAAATTTTCCAGGTGTCCTCGCTCAAGCGATATATTTTTCGCTTGAGCGAATTTTGCGATTTTCATCCAGGTTCGCCATTTTCGAAATCCAGGTTTCAAATTTCTCAGTTTCAATCACTCAAATTAGTTCCAAATCAAAATTAAACCATAAACATGTTCAATTTAAGTTAAAAACAACAATTTTATTATATAATTCATCCTTAATTGAAAGAATTTCAACAATATTTCAAACTTTGCAATTGATGAATAGTAATCTCCAATTACGGACATTGGTATGAATAAAACTAAACGTCTAACCCATACCTGGCTTCTTCAAAATCTTATTATTCTTAATTTCTTATGCTCCCCTTTCCTCCTTTCTCTCGAATTCTTCTTCTCAGAATTCTGGTGCCTCTCTGTTGGATTTGTAAATGACGGGAATTATATGTTTTTGTGTAAGTAAGTTTTCAAATTTCTTCCTATTTATACACTTATCTTACCGACTTATAGTCCTTCTCGAATTTTCTTTAATTTTATTCTCCATCGCCTTATTTCACCGACTTAATTCAAAGGTTTTATTGACTTGATCTAAAACTACGGTCCCTGAATACCATTTCTCTCTTTTCGTGATTTTTTTTTCTAAATATTTATTTATTCATTTATTTAATTTTATTATTAAGAATTATTATTAAATTATTATTTGACACAATATTAACCTTGGATTTTATTTTATAATTTTCTTAAGACAAAATTACTATAAAAATCATGTTTTATTTTTATAATAACTCTACATAATATTCGGTACATATTTATAACTTACAAAATTTATTTATATAATTGATTGCAAAATTTAGGATATTACACGTTTGGGATGTTATTTTAAACGATCCATATGTTCCTAAAGTTACTGAGAACGGTGTTGACGTTCCCAAACCTTTTTCTAGATGGACTGCAGAGGAAAACAAAAAAGCTCAATTTGACGTTAGGGCTAGAAATATAATTTCATCTGCTTTAACCCT